GAGCGTAAATGGGTACCAGCTAACTTTCAGGGGAAACCTGGTGACGTGCAGGGGGGTAACGTGCGATGAAAATCCAGGAGAAGCAATATTCTAAGTCAATCAATTCTTTAGAAAATAGAAAGAACAATACGTTGCGAAAATTATGAGACTTTTGCTGACTGAACCTCACTCATTCCCGCTAAAACAAGCCACAGTTGAATGAAAAGCGAAAGTTCAGTTTTATTTGTCATGTTTCTTTTGCAGGATCCAATCCTTGTGATGTCCCTACACAGCTCGGTGGCTGCAGTCACATCTGTTTATTGGCGCCTGTCGACTCTTACCCACAAGGCTTTTCATGCCATTGTCCACCTGGACTAACACTGCTTGCTGACCAGAAGACCTGTCATTCGCAGGCTCAGCCGCAACCTTGAGAAGTGGAGACTGGAGGAGGCGCAAAGGAGGGGGGGAGGGGGGGTTGCCACAAAACCTTTGCTTTTATAACAAATATTTACCATCAACATTTCTATGCTTAGAGTTATTCTCATTTTTAGTTCCCGATATAAGCTGGCTCACGAATCTGCCACGTTTTTCTTGCAACGTAGACTTGGCAATATTTTCTTTTTCAGAGGACACTACACTAAAGGAACACGCCCTAAAAGTCAGTTAGCCAATAGTAAATTGTTACCACCGGACCATCATTTCCCCTGTTTAAATATACTCAGAGCACCTTTAAAAGCTTTTGCCATTTAATTGCTGTCATCTTATCCGATAACATTTACTGCACTCAGAGTAGGGTTGGCTTGCCGTTAATGAAAGTACATCATTACAATTGTTCGGCTGGTTACAAATACACGCCCTCTCATTAGTACTTTATATCTGTTTATAGTCAACCTGCATGTAGTAGAGATTGTATTTTTGCCTATGTTTAAGAATACAGTTCTCTTCGACCATTACAAGGATCTTCTCGTTTCTATCTCGTCAAGTTCTAGTCACTCTTACATTAAATGCAATCGTAATTCATGGCAGGATTTTCGAAGAGTGTGGTCCTTCAATTATGCATGTGCAGCTGTTTTATTTTTATGAATTATTAATTAATTTTGACAAATCTGAGAAGGGAAGGGAGGGGGGGTTCCTCTGTTAGGGTCTTACTGTTATTTGAGAGGAATACAGGTTTTTTTACTACTATAAATTATCCCTTCAGCTGGACCAAAAGGAGGGTCTTGTACATCCAAGGGTTCCTCCTCCCCCCCTCTCCTCATCTCTGACGCCTTTAAAATATTAAGAACATCCCATGTGGTTACTCGTTGGAGCTGTGGTCACGCATACTGTGTTTACAAACACAATACACCTGCTTGTGGTGCCATGTGCGGTTTTTTCACTCGTGGCACCCATTTACAGGTGTTTTCGCTAATTACTTTTTAGGAAGGGATCCTTATTGAATGTGAACAAAACACGCAGAAATAAGTATTGTTGAAGCACGTGCCACGCGTTAGGAATCTTACTGTTAGATAAATATCGAATGTGTAGCAATGTTTAAGTGTCTGTGGGAATGGGAGACAGGTTGTTACGCCACATTATAAAACAAAACAAACCTGCTAAAATTTACATCAAAACTGAAAATGTGACTCCCACAAAACCGAAAACACTCCGAGGTAACGTAGAAGATCCTAAAAGAAAAAAAACCGAAAAACGTAGTAGAAATCAAATCTGAAAAACTAAATAATTTTTGTGCGAAAACCCGAAAACCGGATCTTACAGATGATCAAAACCGAAAGAGACAAAAATCTCATTTTCATGTGAGGTTATTGATTTTGGAGTTTCAAGTTTTGTTTTCAACGCAAGCCATGTGTACTGTGTTCCGCTTCGGAACTCCAATTGTTATTATTTTTACTTTCTTAACCGTCATCGATTATATTTGGTTTTGTTTCAGGACATCCGTTCTTATTTCAGGACATCCGCCCAGCTTGTTTTTGTCGAGGTCTGAGAATGAAATAGTGACTTTTGAACGATTCATGTGAAAGTTAACAATGCATTAGACTGGTAATAGTGTGGGGTGAAAGTTAACAACCTTCAGGCTAATGTCGTGCAATATAATTATTCAGACATTCTAACAGACATCGAAAATGAGTGCGAACACGTGCTTCGCTTGTCTCTAGACCATTAGTGTTGGACGAAAATTCTTGACGAAAACATTATCTGAATCTTGAGGATACTGTAGGAAAATTTGCTTGAAACACCTTGGAACATATATTCTCAACTCCTTTCTGACAGACCATGTTCCAATTCTCTACGTCACCTGAGCGCATGAAGTGAGTACTGTTTTTTTGGCGAAGAACCGATCACTCCCGGAAGGACTGTTTCTACCAAATTAATACAAGTGCAATTCAAATCCTAGCATCTTTCACTTTGGAAATCCACATTTCGCACAAATTTCGCGTTGAAAATTTCGTCAAGGGGCAATACAATTAGAGATTGCTAATTCTATGAACAATATTGAATAAACTAAATCCAAACTGAGAAATACCCGTGTTTCTCCTTTGTAAGAAATAGTCCACTGAGGTAATAGTCTAGTTGGGGTTGTAATCTCGTCGCCATAGAACATCATTATTCAGTTTGCAATGACATGTTTACATCTCTGCACGTGTTGCAGCACATTAAACGTTCGGTGAAAATGAATATTGATTTGAAGGAATGAGGAATTTTCCGAGGCAGCGTTTGAAGAGAAATTTACGAAAAGAAGCCCTTGACAGGAATCAGGTGTGGCTGATGAGTGGTACTATTGGTCTACATCGGCACTGAACATATAACTTCTCCCTATAATATCCATAAATTATCCAGAAAACAGGTAATGAGAATATTCAAGCTCATCAGGTAGAAGTTCGAGGTTGTCTTGATCTGACACTAAATACTCGCAACTAATTTTCAAGGAATTGTCGAACAGCCAGTGGGGAGAATTAAAAATCACATCTTGGGATTTAAAGGGTTAAAAAAACAACAGGACAACTGTTGCGTTCTACTTTACTAAAGCATTTTTCTCGTGTTGTTTTTTTCTCAGAAATAGGTCAGAGAATAACAAAGAACCTTGATTAGACTTACAGGACACGGGTTCGAGTTTTCATTGAGCTTGTGGTCGGAGAAGGGAGATTTTCTTAAACATCCAACCACACACAGAAAGAATTGTAGAAAATACAGAACACTCCCGTGAAATCGCTGTCTGTGTTTTTTTGTACTCATTAAATTACGAATCGATTGGCCTACGATTTCTAGGTAGCAGTTGATGATGTTCGAAAAAAAAACAATCCAATGAATAAAGACAGTAAAATTCCGTAAATTCATTTAAATACGGAAATCAGGAGTCCATCGGGTAAAGGGCCCATGGGGAAATACAATATGTCACGAGAGGGCCGCCATAAATTATCACAAAGGTCAAAATACTATCTGCTAAACAAACAAAATTTCGTGAAACTCTGCACGAAACATCAATATGTTCGCTGCTTATGTGGTAATCATGAATAGCTCTATAAACAGAACGTGCTCTACGTGCTGTTTAAAGGAATACTGTTGAAAGAATTAATAAACAAAATTTGCCGTGTAATTGAAATATCGTGACTGATATTTATAGATTCTATTTGTTCTTTGCGAATTCATTTATTTTAACTGGGTAATCTTTTTCTGAAAACAAAATCCTCTGAATGCCGTTGATTTCAACAACAAAAGTCTACTAATTCCCAAGTTCAAAGTATTCCAGTGAATGAACCGATAAAAATTTGTCGATCTTAACTGGGACAAATTCGAGTTTATCCTCTTACACTGATCGAACCGTAAATTAATCTTCATGTTTCCACTTCTTAACAGATGGGTCAGTAGGTTATTTTGCCGTGAAGATATTCTATGACTTCTATTTTCTTTTCGTTCGTCAGTTGATCGTGTTTCCTGATCCGAATATTTAACACTCTTAAAGTGAAATACAGCCTAAAAAGATCTTTGTGAAGTACATTTAGACCAGATGCCAATTTTACTTAGTCTGCCTTTTTGTCTCCCTGAATAATTACTGTTTTTCCTATTCATTTTTGGATAAGTTCCAACAGCTTAACAAACATGTTCATGTCAATATTCATTCGCCAGTCACGACAGCTTTAAATCGGACATTTTTTGACCTTCGCCTTCCTGTTGTTTTCCTACACAGGAAAGTTGATATCTAAAATCGATGCTTTCCGCAGGGAGATTTGCAACATCTTGGGCTTGTAGGCTGCAAAACAATGATATAGTTTCCTTTAGACACCGCTGGCTGCAAGCCAACCCAGAAAGCAACCGAAAGTTGTTGATCATCTCAGACTCCCACAGCTAAACCATAAATATTCGCTAGAATTACTTGATCTTGTTTGGATTATAAAAAAAAATGGACCCCAGCATAACCCAGAACAATTTGCTCTGGTACGGCTGCAGATCAGTTCTCAATTCTTAAAATGCTGTGTTGCCGATTTTCATAAGAAATATGATAGACCGAGATATGTAGAGACAGAAGCCATAAACTTAAGGTATTCACAAATTTTTAATTGGTGAATGCTTAATGTTATAGTTTTGGATGTCGGCCATTATTGATCAGGGCATACTCTTGAGGTTTCCTGACACAAACAAACCGGGCGTCAACGGAAGTAGTTTAGAAAACTATAAGGTGCCAGAGCATCATTGAATCAGCGGCGTTAGCATCTCAAGGGACTGAAAAAGGATCTATGTATCAAAGTGTTGAGTGCGGATTAGCTTTTGGCCTCAACGTAGAAGCTTTGGAGGAGCTTTACTTTGGCGTCTGTGTTGTGTACAGGATGAGGGTATATGTGACGTGTTCCTAAAAATGGATATGTTACGTTACGTGATCTAAAGGGATTGTGCCTGATACCTAAAAAGGATCAAAAAATGTTACAGCACATAAAAGTTAATAAACAAAATGGGTAGAAAAACGTGTTTTTACACTCATTGCGATCCTCGGTCAAACTTGTTCTTGAAAGTAAACTTTAATACTACGTTTCACTGTCAGGAACACGTAGATATTGTATGTCACTCTGAAGTGCGAGGGCGTAGAACTGATACGTGATGTAAGGAAATATTTGCGACTTTCAATCTGAGTATTGCTGTTCCTTTCATTTGATATACCAGAGCGGGACATGCTAAGTTCTTGTTACGTAGATTCACGCCCAAGTCACATTGTAAGAACAGCGAATTTGTCTTGGTTAACTTTTCAGTAATCCGACGACGTTTAAATGATCAGATTGTGTAGCTTTTTTTATGAGATTTGTTTTGCCAAGAGAATATTAACTTTATAAACTTTATATGTTATTTTTGGTTTTGCTACGTTAACAACGATTCGACTTCCAGAAGAGAGGATGGAAAATATAGCCATCGTGTTTTTGAAGGTCTCCCCAGGAAAAGTTTCACTCTAACTGGCTGTGAAGACACCAGCAAAAAATGTCAATGTTAAGGGCATGATTGCGACTTAAATTTTGGCCGCTAGACCAGCAGAACGTAGGAAACAAATTTTAGGTAATGAAAGAACTATTCAGGCACGTCATAAAATAAGTTGATAAGAGTGTAAAAAGGTCACCCAAAAGTGTTTTCTGGTCAGCAAAGCGAGAGAAGATACTACTCTACTGATTACTGACAGTTGCATCTGAAATCGGAACTGCCCAATATAGAATCAAAGTATCTGTGAAAGTGATCACCAGTAAACATTTTTTTTTTTTTATAAAGGAAGATGTTTTACGTTTGTCTTCAACTCAGGAAAGGACTTTACGTCATACCTCGTGGAAACGTCTTGCTTATTTTTCAAGGTCGTCATTTTTGTGTTGTTGATGTTTTTTCACTCACATTTTCTTTTCCACTTCAAGGCGAGAGAAGTTTTGCTCAGCGAGGAAACTGCTTTAGAATATTGTTAAGTCGCGTGTTTGATAAGGTGACGGTTATGGAAAACCGTTGGATTGACGAAGTTTTTGTTGTATTAATATCAACACAATTTCCAGTTCTTTCGGTAACAAACTGTAAATTTCAAGTTAACTCGACATTTGACTTATCTGAAACTAATTCTACTTGTGCGCCATTTTGTAAAACTCATGTGGCAAACCTTGAAACAGAAACTAAGATTGTAGCCTTGTGTTTCAGATCAGCATCTTAACTTTCAGTCCCTGAACACATGTAGTGAAACATTTTTTAGGGAAAAATTATCAATGATATATTGATATTCCTAAACAATTTCGCAACTAGAAAGTTCGCTTCCTTTCAGATCTGTTCCACTTCATCATAGGAGACTTTTGATCCCCAGGAATAACTGTTCATAAATAATATAATATTTGTATATTTCAATATTGATCAGCTATGAAACAAAAATGTTCCCAGCACTGTATAAACCGTATAATTCTCGATTAATGCGCAAATTATAACTCCATGAAATCACAATGCCAGAGAGGGTCAGCTCGTTTTAATCTAAAGACCTAAGAAATTTTAATGATATTCCGGTACAAAACTGAAATAAAATGGCTTTGAACTCAGGAGACCATGAAAGAATAGCCTTGAGCGATTTTTAAACAACAGGAAATAAAAAAATATCCAAATTTCTCCGCCGATTTGGCGCCAGTCAAAGAAACCTCCTTATGCGGTTGTTTCCAACTCACGAAAGCACACGGAAATCGTGCAAATCCAAGCAATTCTGTTTGATAGTTTTACCTAACAGCTGTACTAACAAAACCAACTTGGTCTTTCAATCAACCATTCCACGCCCTCGCACTGCCCTCGGACAAATTACCAAAGGTCTCTGAGACTGGATTCATCTGAAATACGAGAAGTACTTCCTTTATGCTTTAGAGTGTTTAACCATTTCCGCCGGCCTTTATGTAATAAAGGGCACAACAGAAATACTACTTACACTAAACGTTTAATGACGGCATCGAAATCTGGCAAATTGGTGAGTGTAGTCTGTAGTTATCGCAGATAAATTGGTTATTTAGGGGTTGATGAATAATCTTGGAGGTAATACTTTTATTTGATTCACACTTACGAAATTTTTTTTTATCCGAAGCTATAATGAGTAAATGATTGAACTGAGCAGAGGCTTCTAAATTTATTGAGGGGAATCCTCATATCGTCGAGATCGCTTTATTTTGACATGGATATGTTCTATGTTCATAAGTTATGACTAAAATGCAAATCGAGACTTTCATGCCAACATCCGCAGGATTTCTGTACTTGATTTATTTATAACAACTCAAAAATAATGAAGAATTTTCAGGTTTAATGTCACTTTAGATTATTTTTCTCTTTACGGTTTTCATATTAGTGGTGATAAAAACGAAGGTTGCTCGCTGATAAATTTCCAGACAAAACCTTAGAGATCTTTTGTATCGCAAACATAGACAAAGCATTATTATTTTGAAGTGTGGAAATTCTTTAGAATCTTTTATACAGTCGAGCGCTTGTGAGCAGTGAACTCTTTTGAAATGACCTCTGGACAAAACAGTGGAGACCCCGGCTCAGTTGTGGGTACGTGAGTAGATTTCAAATAGGAGGCCGTACCGACTATTGTTAACCAAATCAGTCATTTCATGCATATTTAAATCAGCACATGGCATACATGGCATGGCTTGTCCGTGTGCTGTAAGCAGCAAATACTCAATGATTTTTCAATGAATTTGCTGTATTAAGATGCGTTAAGACTCGTGGAACAATTGATACTAAGACGTTGTCCATAACACGAGTGAGTGGAATCCCGGAGATACCCAAAGTCTCGTGTTTTTCCTCGCTGCTATAATCAACAGAGTATTACATTTACAACTCAGGGTATGTTAAAAAATTTTCCAATCGTTAAGACTTGTTATTGTTTTATCAGATACTTAGCAAACCTCGTGATTTAGTTTATACATATGCCGGACTTAAGAAATATCCCTTTACTAAAAAGCCTTGGTCAAACATTCTACAAAATTACCGCATACCGTTTCTGAGGGTTTAATGTTTTGATTGATTATGCACTGACTGGTCAAGACGTGGTTTTTATTTGGACTATTTATATCATGACCTCAAATGTCATTTACGAAATCGTTCTGTTATCATATCATGTTAAAATGCTTGCGTCATAGACCCTATAGCGGCCCCCGGGAAGTGAACCGTATAGCTACCTACAAGAATGCAGTATTACGTTTCGTGTCGTTGATTTTAAGCGAGTTTCGTTGGATTACATCTCGTATTTGTGTGAATCATCTGGTCAATTCATCGATTTAAGGTTATAGCGTTCGATTAAAACTCTTCTGGTGTTCCGAAGTGTCAAAATCTTTTTCTGGCGATTTCGTGATTGCACGTGATTTTGGACAGCAGTGAATACGTCGTTCTTGTGTCTAAATACTCGTTCATCTTGGGTCCCATCGATTTTTTAAGGTACGTGGTTAGTTCTTTAGGGCCACTGTTTCATTGTTAATCACATAAACGATCTTATTCGTAAATGGTGGATTGAAAACTTTGCTAAATTCTATTTCGTGCCAGATACGAAATAACGAAATTGCGCAAAGTTATAGAGCCCCACTTCAGTGTTCTCAAAATCATACCATTTGATTGTAGACGGAATGCACGAATTTAGCCTTAAGTAACGCTGTAACTGCAATGTATTCACCAATCACGAGTTCATCTGTGGTTTAATGTCCAATTCTTTAATTTAGCATCAAGTTGATCATCTTCTCGAGGAAACTATCACAATTTGACGACGACTATATGATTAAATCTTCCAAGATATTTCAAATGAGACGTTCTCGCAGATATAAATCATACTAACTGACAGGAACATTCTTCAAACAGACTGAATATTTCGCATTTGAGCAAAGGAGTGGTCGAATCTTTCAATATCTTTAAGTCTTTTGGAGAATGTGTTCTTTTAAATTGGACAAATGTTCCTCAGGATAAGATTTCATAAATTGTGTAAACAACATCAATATGAATATCTTACTCACGTGATGGCGAAGTAAAAGATGTATTTGTAGCGGCGCCTCAGTGACTTTCATCGTACATCTGCTAAGTTTAGATTTCAATAAGTCACTATACTATCAGCAGAGATGCCCCAATTTTCTATAAGTTATGCCTCCAGGAAGTTCGGATCGAGGTTTCGCTTTTCGTGGGTTTGCTTGTGAATGATCACTGTGCACGAAGCAACTCTGATATTTGGAGAAATCAGCGCAAACTCGGCAAGTTTTTGGTCACAGTTTGCTTAAATTCTTACAATCTCGAGCGGCAATTGTTAACTTGATCAGCATTTCATCGCAAATATTCTTTGTTCCTTATGATCGATTTATTTACAGATTAATTATGGTTTTTTTCTCTTGATAACTAATTATTGATTAAAAAGTTAGATCAAAAAACCTTTTTATCTAACAATCTTTTTATCGTTTCTCATACAATCTTTATTTCCTTTGCTGTCTCTTGCAATCTGATCATAAGTGACCCTCTAAGTACTTAGCGAGGGTGAAAAATGTTTGGAATTTTTTCATATGTTTCAATTCATGTTTTGTGACTCCAGTGGAAACATTGTCTACAAATTGTTAATTGGGCCATAATAATTTCAAAAACTTCTCAACTCTTCGTTTAAGTTTGTGAAGAGCAGAGTGATGTACAAAATGCTGGATTTGCATAAAACCGCATTAGATATTTCCGGTGTGTCGGCGAACCACTCGATGGCGATGTAAACAACATCATGAAAACAAGTATAGCCGGTCAAGCAGGGATAGGTGTCATCAAAATGGCCGTCTTTGAACCTCGTGTGGCATACCCGCTTTCGATCCATCGAGCTCGTCCGAAACTTTATTTATCATGTTAAAAAACCGACAAAAATGTGTGCTACAGCTTAATGCATTAGATGAAATGAGCGTTTAAGGTATAAACACTTCGTTCATAAGAGAGAGTTAACTGAAAAGTGGATTTGACAAGATTACCTAAAGTATTATTAACATGGCAGCTTAGGTCGCGAGCCCGTCGGCCTAAAGGTTATAATTTGCATCCAGAAAAATATTAGTAAAAATTTCTGGAACAATTCCGTCTTCTCGTTGTGATGTAAGTGATTTTCGTCTCTTAGTAAGTTAAAAATAGAATTTATTTTTGGTGATTTTTATGATTCAAATGGTAATCGATGAGTTGAAATTTCTACTTGTTCCGACACTTTTGTGTCTCTTCTAAAAGGGTTGACCATTTTACTCTGTGATAAAATGAGTTGAAGAAAGATGCTGGATTTCTATTCAAACGATCAGAACAACTGAACGCAACTTGGTCGAACTTTAATTCAGAAGTTGAAGAGTTAACAATAAACTATTTTGGAAATGGTTTTATTTTGTCAATGTCATCAAAATTTAAGGGGTGGAATTTTCTTTGACATGTGGGAATATTTATTTTTACAGAAATTGCTTAGGGAAGATCTTATTTTCCACATGAAAAGTAATCAGTAGCTTTAGTTTCAAAGATCATATCTCTTTCCATGTTGGATGATAGCTATTTTGGGATGTCTCTCTCAAACCAAAAGCGCTTTATAGTGAATACATTCCTTCGACAAAGAACGTCAAAAAATGTCCCGTGAGTTCTCGGCGTTTTATGACGTATCTTCATGAAGAAAACAAACAATTTGTATGTGTTTACAGGTGCATCTTTGACAAGAATTGACGCGATGGTCACATTTTGACATTGATGTTTTCGGATAAATGAAATTTTTGTCTTCTTTGCAATTGTTAGAACTCAGGAATACAAGGATGCAATAGAAAAGAGAAAGAAAAGCGATCTAATAGAACCCCTTTTTATCAACTGAAAGTTTTTTTTTCAAAAAAACCTGTATGTTACGAGCTCATAAGTGTGCTGTACATTTGCACAAAATTTTGCTGACTAATATGTTTTGAATAAGCAATGAAATGGTAGCATCTTCATAAATATCCCTAACGTTATCGGCTCATCATTTCATGAGGCAATCATAGGATTCTATGAGTAATAAACACGTGCATTTCGCTCCTTTCATAAGATTTCATCATCATCCAACTTCTTGAATATTTCGTTTTGCCAGTTTTAATATCAGTTAAAGAAATTATTTTGGCACAAGAATTTGAATGTTACTCCAAAGAAATCTGAACTTCAGCATCGAGACATCTCAACGAAATTACTTTTCATCATTTAGAATATTACTATTTTTCTCCGCAACAAATTAGTTCATAAGTTTTTTAATTATCACGTTAAGATTCGAGTAAATATTGTGGATGTAGAATTAAAATTTTTCCACAAATTAAGAGGATTTGGAGAGTGTACCTGGCTTAAATCCTGGCATGCGCAAATACGTTGTAATTTGTTTACTTTCGTCTCCATTTGGCTTTCGCGTTTTCACACATCTTCGGCCCCCGAGGAATACACGAGAACATTCCGGAAATACCAGCGATAACCGCTGTCTATTTCATGAGTTTCCATTGGTCAAATTGAGATCACATGATCTAAGTTTGACCATATTTGGATTCAGTTTTTCGTGTTTTAGCAGCTTTCCCGCCAACGAGTTGGTATGTGTGACAACAACAAACGTCAGACTCGAGTTTAGAGTTCATGTGTTATTCCGACGGATTTACGGGCTAAATGTGGTTAATCTTGTTCCTTCGACCCTAGAATACGCTTTCCTCGAGAGAATCTTGGACATGGCAAGATCGTGGAGGAACGTGATCAAGCTTTTGGTCTGTGTGTGTATCGCTTTGGATTTTGCTCAAACAATAGGTGAGCGTATATCGATAATCTCTCTACGGTAGTTATGTTTTGTTATGATTTTCGTTGTCGTAAAATGAAATTTTCAAAATGGATCTCGATGTCTTTTGCCATCATGACGAATAAACTTTCTTTCTATTACATACTTTAATTCATGATCTTCATTGATATCATGTGGGAAAATGGAAAACAGCGAATTCAAGAAGACATGGTTATGCCACGAAGTCGTGGGATCGTAAAATCTCGAATATAGCAACTTCCCTTCTTTTCTTTCATTGTCTTCCTTTGAAGACACTCTATAAGCAGCGTCCATAATTTCCTTACGAAGCGTAGAATAAGTCATGTACGACTGATGTTCTCTACATGATTACAATGATTCAACGGCGGTAAGTAGTATCATATGTTTGCCCTGTAGTCTCGTACTACTGCGTACAGTACTCACTGACGACCGTCCTTCGATTTCAGTTGCAGAGTTTCGATGCGGTAAAGATCAGTTTGCTTGTGGCAATCAGTTATGTATTCCTGAAAATTGGAGATGTGATGGAGAAGATGATTGCGGAGATAACTCCGACGAGAAGAATTGTCGTAAGTTTTCGCTCTTTTGATGATGTGTAAAATAGAACCCGCTTGTTGTTATTGTGAATTGAAGTGGTGTGCGTTGCATCACTCGTTTGCTGAAACCGTGGTAGATCTCTCTCTTTCTTTCCTTTCTTCTCACCTTAAACCTTTAAATTAACGAGATAGGCTTTAAACTTCAAGATAGGATGAAGAATTTCTTATTTTGCTGTAATAGGAAGAAGAGTCGTAACGCAAAAGAGCGTGTCCATCTGTTTGGACGTGGAAATGCGCCATTAATAGTATATGAATGAAAAACGATTGAAACGAAAAGTTTATCAGAAGATTTGCTTATGTCTCACTTAGAATATCTCATTGATTTCTTTTAGCGGGATGAAGTATGTTTAGTTTGGTTTTTATCCTCAGAGAAACAGCATAAGCATGTGTAGAATAAACGTTTTCCATTCCTTCTTGGGTACGTGGATTATCTAAGCACTAGTTGCGTCTGTGATTTTGCTTTCCACAATACGGCCCAGAGATTTTTTTATGTTTTTACTACGTTCTCTGCGATTACTTTAAAAGATTTTGTGGTCGATTTTGGCCGTCGATGGACAATCGCGATTAAACTAGGCAATTTTCAGTGATTTTTAGTTTACGAGTCTTCACTTGTTTTTGTTCGTCGTAGTCACTTTCCTATTTGCATACAAGACACAAGCTCAGGCGGAACTTCAAACAACTCCTAATTCTTCATTGGCTGGGAGAATAAAAAACATTGGTAAACAGTTCGGCAAGGTTGTTTATTATTTCTTTGCCCAATGGGGTTTTTTGTTCTCACGCTAAATGTGCGAACTTACACAAAAGCCCCACCGCCCTCCTTCATTTCACTGCGAATTTCGTTGTCTGCGACGTTTAGTCTCCAATTTTTTTCGTCTCCCACGCCATTTTTGCGCTCGGAGTTAGTTGTTGTGGTAACAAATGATTTGCAGGCGTTTTAATCCTTGCCATCGCCGATCTAAGATCGAGGCGTAATGTTGTTTCAACATTTAAGATACTTTCGCTGATTCTTTGACGTTCCACCCCACGTTCCGCAGAAGGAATTTCTTTCGTGCTAACCAAAAATGTTCAATATTTATTTTGCTGATAGCGAGATGTGACATTTTCACGTGAAATATTCCAGCGTTGGTTCAAAGGTCTCTGTTCAGTCCTTTTTATTAAACTTAATGGTAAAAGACACCTTTGACTTAAGTCTCCTAGACATACATCAATCCAGACTAGTTCCAAGGTACATGCCATTGAAAGGAAATCTGTGTTCACCACACACACAGTGCTTTATGAATTATGTTTCTATCTTGTGAAGTTGTTCTTTTTAAGTAGGAGAAGAAAAAATGTTAATCTAGTGACTACGAATCACATGACCGTCTCAGCTAGTAAACTTTGAAATACATGCTCCGTTCAATATGAAACTTTCCTGAGAGAAATCGTGATTTTGCAACGTGACTCAAGGTTGAAATTTCATTTGTAGCTTACTGGTGTCTAAATATTGTTTTTACTTATAATTACAACTGAACAAGGGGTCGTTACGTTATATAAATGATTCTTTGATCGAAAGAGTTGAAATAAATTTTTTCTAACTAGGAAAAATTGTTTTTGAAAACATCAGCTAAAGAGAAAAAGCTTGTTAAGTGGTTTAGTTTTTCCTTCTCAATCTTAACTAAGGAGGATCGAACCATTTTCACACCAGCAATAAGTTGTTTATCAGTCTCAGGTGCTAGAGTGCAAAAAGCCATTTATAAAGCCATTAGTTAAATTTTAAAATAAATGGCTATTTAGAGTTTTTTTTGAAAGCTATCTATAAGTATTCAGGGCAATCACTCTAGTTTTGTTTCAGTAACCAAGCAGAGTAATTATGTTAGAAATTCTCTTGCCTTGGAATGAAGATTGATGTCTTGGTAGCTATGCTAGAATGTGAAAATGAGAAATGTTCTTGCCCTGTTACTTTTGTTTTGTGGAGTAAAACCAGGATCTTGGCACCTTTTGCAGACTTCCTTTTCCTATGATAAAGTAAAACTTTTTAGCCTGGGAAAGATTGTGTTAAGGTTTTGAAAACCAAGTCAGCTTGGTTGAACAGAAGGTGGGATAGTGAGGCTGTAAATTATCTTCAACACTGATGCTAGTGACCATGTAGCATTCAGTTATGGGTAAGAGATATCTATGACATGATAAATATTGTTCAGAGCATAATAACAAGACTGGTACATATGTTTATTTTATTTTGTTCTTAATCTCTCACTGGTGGCCAACTTACTATCTATCATCAGATAAATAATAGCATTATCACTCTGGTTGGAATGCTATTCTTGTCTTTCCTTTAATTTATTTTAAGTTGTGTATTAAAGAACTTAATTCTTTTTGTCTTATAGCTGTTAGACATTGTGATCTAAGCACAAACTTTGCGTGCAAAACTGGAGACCGTTGCATTCCTCTGAGATGGGTGTGCGATTTCACTGATGATTGTGGGGATAATTCTGACGAACCTGCAAACTGTGGTATGTAATTAAAAATCGATTTACTAATAGATATCATGTTGCCATGTCTGTTCAGTAATAGGTCACAGGTGATGTCAATATGGTAAGAACAAAGAATGTTACTGATAACCTTACCAAATTTTGTTGTCCTCTGTGATCTTTAACTGAACAGATGCTTGAAACATGGAATCTATTTATTTCATTTAGTAGAGAAACTAGATGTTGTTAATGGTGATGTCATTTATGTGTCTATTCTCTGATAGAACATATGTAAGAACCAATCAAACGTGTACATATTTCAGCTTATTATGTAACACAGTATATTAAGCAGTTGCAGGAAGAAAACTATTTTATTATGAGAAAATTAAATTCATATCTTTTAACTGTCACAAAATAGCATTATCACTATTCACACATGTACAAGCTTCTGTACTTGCTTGATCACTCTATAAAACAGAAATTACATAAATTTGATTGGATGCTGATATTGGGGACCCTTTGTCCATTACTGAGTGTATAGCCTCAGGAAAAACTAATGCTAAGAGAACAGCTTTGCATTAGTTTAAAAGGGCTAGAGGTACAAATGTAGATTAACAATCTAGTGCTGATGACATTGGACAAGTATAAATTTCTGTCACACTCAGGGTTGTCAAAATAATATGGCAGTTGGAGCATTTTTCCTTCTACCCTGGAAAATGGGACAGCTATTCCAAATGCTTTTGGCTCAATTTTCACATGGAAGCATTGCATTGTGCCACTTTGTATTACAGTTCCATTTCTCAAAATATTGTGTAAAACCTTGCGTATTGTCAGTGTCTTTCAACATTTGGATCACAGTAGATGCTAATCTGAAATATTTTTGTTTGTAGCCCAAAGAACATGTTCAGAGAATGAACATGCATGTGGAAATGGTCATTGCATTCCAATGCGGTGGCGCTGTGATCGGGAAAAGGATTGTAATGATGGTAGTGATGAACGAAATTGTGGTAAGGTGTCATTATCTGCAGCACACCAGACATTTGAGAGGACATTAACAAAGCGGCTGATTAAAATTAAACCATTTAAAAGATTTTTAAGCATAATATGAAACGGAGTGCGAATTGCTTCTAGTTTTGATAAGGTCTATTGAAATTGTCAAGAACTAATTTGAAACATTAAAATTGAGTGATCCTTGATTTTTTTGAGAAGTGAATTTTAAATGAGTCATCTTCAATATCAGCCTTTGAATCAATGTCTTGAGAAATTTTAGGAATCTTGAACACAGCAAGTAAAACTTTTGTCACTTAAGCTACTACTTGGAAATGTCACGCGCAACAGATTTCATTAAAATTTTCATTTTTACCTAATTCAAATTTCGAATGTCTGCATCTTCTAAGTGGTTCATATGTCTGGTAAATAACTCTATTTCACAACTTTTGATCATTATTACTTGTGATTTCGCCAAAGTAATGTTTTAATTTTAAAATTAGGTATTATGTATGATTAAATGTTAACTTTGCTACTACTGTACATGTTTTTCATGTTGAACAGTCAGGTTTATCTATTTTTTTTAGTATGTTTAATCTATTAAACTTGTTTGATTAGATAATAGATATAATTGTATGCCTTGTCTGAAATACATTGTCATCGACATTTAGTTATTTAGATTCTTAAATGTAATTTTTATGCCTAGACAAGAGAAATATTTTGATTGGATATTCCCATAAATTAAATTTTGACCATCAGGTTTTATTTTCTGTCATTTAAAACATTTCCCTTGTTCCCAAAGTAACCTGTTTCATTAATATCTGTGGCCATGATAAAAAATTGAAGTTAATCAGTCAAGTACCAAACAATTCACTACAAACACCCCCTGTAAAAGTAAATAAAAAAATAAGCATTTAAACCTTACTATGTTATCCTCTCTATGTCTGGTGATGGAATTTCCATTAATCTGTGTTTTGTTCGTTTTATTTTTTGCCACTCTTCTCTGAAAAAAAGGACCAATTTCTTCAGGTAACAAGACTTGTAATGGTAATGAGTTTACCTGTTCAAATGGCAAGTGTATCTCGCGTAGCTGGCGGTGTGATCTTGATGATGACTGTAAAGATAACTCCGATGAAAAAAATTGTCGTAAGTTGTATATGTTTTCTTTGGTGAGCACTACTTGTGATACAACAAGCAGTTGCAGAATTACTCTTAACCCTTAAACTCCTGAGATCTGATTGTTAATTCTCCTCTCTAGCTGCTATATATTTCCTTGTAAATTAGTAACCAGAATTTGATGTTAGATCAGGATAAATATTTCTTCTTGCTAATTTTGAGTATTCTTATTATGTGTTTGTGGATAATGTATGGGACACAGTGTTTCATAGTGAAAAGTTACAGGGGTTAGGGATCTAGAGTAGAGTATCTAGAGTTTAGAGTATCTTCTTAATTAGGGTTTCAAAATTTAATTACAAACTTTGTAATAATAGGTATTTTACTGTGATTGTTTCACTACTTTTCTTTAATTACATTACCTTAAATACTCATCCCAGCTAAGGGCCTAAAGGTAACTCACATGTAATCTATGTTTCTGTCTGGGCTCTTACAGCTAACAAGACATGCAAACCAACAGAGTTTACTTGTAACAGTGGACGGTGTATAAAGGGGTCCTACAAGTGTGATGGGGACAATGATTGTCAGGATGGCTCTGATGAAATTGGCTGTCCAACCACTGGTCCTGTGTGCAAGCATGGTGAATTTCAGTGCAATTCTCATGACTGTGTTCATGAAAGTTGGGTATGTGATGGAGAAAATGATTGCAGTGATGGCTCAGATGAGAACGGGTGCAGTGAGTATTAAAATTTCAAATGTCTGATGTTGAATTAAAAAAGCAACAGTAAAGTATTTTTTAGGGAATTTTAATGCTTGTGGTAAATCAAAAAGCAAAGTGATAAGAACTGCCCATAAGATTAAACAAAGAAACACTAGGAGCCTATGAAAATGGAGAGAAATATAAGTAAAGTGCTTGAAGGGCAGGGAAATGCAGCTGACTAGGTGGGGATGAATTTCCTTTTAGTTTTGAAGCTGGTTCGTAAAGATGATTGCATGAGTTTTCTGGACAAATTACTAAGCAAAACAAAGCAAAACAAAAATAATTCCTGAATGCTTTTGACACTCTGCTGAAAATTGCCTTTTGGGTTTAAATTAATGTGTGCATGTTTCTAAGAAACCTTAGTTGGATGAATGCAAATGTAAGCCCTTTGTCCATGTGACGGTAGAGAATTTAAGAAAGCAATGGCAACAAGAACTTAGTGAAACAAAAGATCTTATGAGCAAAACAATAGCGAAACATGTGATTTCTAAAACTTTGTACTTAACCATCCCATACAAAGCAAAAACATGAAACAGTTAATGCATCGAGCTATTGGCCAAAATCTTAGAGGAAAATAAATTACACTTTTTCTGCAACTTTTTATCACACGTTGCTGTAGTGACATCTTAAACTCCCTAAAATAGTAGCCAGGTCATTAACAGGTGACTGTCTTGATCACAAGGTCAGGTTTAGCCTTGGGCTGCTGGTGTAATTTAAAGATTATCCACTGAAGGGGCAAGCAGTGAAGATGTTGATTGACTAAAACTTCTGCTTATATTTTTTTGTTTTCTTCAGATGTTACCTCCTGTGGTACTAATGAGTTCAGTTGTACCAATGGGAGGTGCATATCTATTCACTCACATTGTGATGGCAAAAATGACTGTTTAGACAACTCAGATGAGCGGAATTGTGGTGTGTTGATGAGTTCTATTGCTCCATGTATTGTTCAGTTTGATTTTGAATTTTTAGTACCATCTTGTTGTCTAATCAGGAAAGATGTATGTTTCCCCTTTTAGCTCCTGTAAAACCAAAGCCTTGCAAGGATGATGAATTCCAATGTGGTGAAACAGACCAATGTATTCCATACAGTAAAGTTTGTGATGGTAATGAGGACTGCAAGAATAAGTTGGACGAACCTTTTACGTGTTGTAAGTAACTCATTTTTTCCTGGTCACATCTAATTGACTCTGTTTTCACATAAATTAAATTTATTACAAGGGCATCTCATGTATTGCTAAACAAAAATGTTGGAATCGTAAGTAGGTTTAAGCTTGTTAGTATTTAAAGTTCATATCCATGATGAATCTTGTTTTTGAAAAAGTATTATATCTAGAGCAAAGGTGTAAGACAGTATTCTAATGTGAATTTAAGAACTTTAAATAGCTGATCCTGTTAAATTATTTTTTGAACAGCAATTAATGAATGTATTGATCACAATGGCCGTTGTCAACAAATCTGCAATGATACCAAAACATCTCACTTCTGCTCCTGTCGTCCGGGCTTTGAAGTAGATAAGGAAGATACAAGAATTTGCAGAGGTATTACCTTAGAAATTAGAAATATATTGTCCTTTTTTGTTCCACATTTAGGGTCTTGCAGTGCACCTTTTGTAGACTAGTATTCAAGGGAGGGGTTCTGCACTATCCTCTAGGTAGCTTTAAATAGACTAAGGGAGCTTTGATAGGCCTGTGATTATTAACCCCTAGAGGTGATAAGTGTGAAAATTTTCCTTACCATGTCAGCACATTATTTGTTAATCAGGTGATAAAAGAGGCAAGTTTATCAGGTAGAAGGTGATATCCTTGGGTAACTCCACATTCTCTTTACTAGTTCCAAGGAAAAATTTTGCATCACACAAATGAACCAGAGGAATTTGAGGAAAAGGAACTGTTAACATTAACCCTCCAGCACAAAATTACACTTTTAACAGACTTCACAGGAGCCATACAGAAGTTAGAGACCTAGTGGTAATTATTTTCAGTATTTTCATTGGAAATTCTTTTGAGATTTTTTAATGATTCCTTCTAGATAAGGACGAGTGTGAAATTCCAGGGTCGTGCAGCCAAACTTGTTACAACACAAAAGGAAGTTTCAAATGTTATTGCCGAAGTGGGTATGAACTGGAGCCAGATCGCCGAACCTGTAAAGCGATAGGTAAGTGGACATAGTGCCTTGGCTTTTAAATGTGTACCTTATGTTTAGATGAATGGCTAAGGACTTCAACATAAGGGCATAGGAAGGAAAGGAGGGAGAAAGTTTAGCTTTGAATTTGTGCTTTGTCTGGTTTCAGCATTGCTTAAGAGCCATTCAACTCAAGTTTGTGATGAAGAGACTTTTTCATTTTTTCACAGGTGAATCAGGCTTCCTCATTTTTGCCAATCGTCAAGACATTCGCCGCCTCTTGTTTGATTCTTCTGACTACACAGAAATGGTACCAAAGCAGCGGGGTGCTATAGCGTTAGACTATGACTTTGAAAGTGGGTACATATTCTGGACAGATGTCATTGATGAAAATATCAGGCGAACTAAGATGCATGACAGTTCTGTAGTTGAAGACTTGGTGAAGATAAACCTCCATACACCAGATGGAATTGCTGTAGATTGGATTAACAAGAAGTTATATTGGACAGACACTGGTGAAGACATGATTGAGGTATCTGATTTTGATGGCAAGAATCGTCTTCAATTGGTAACAACAAATCTGGAGGAACCAAGAGCTATTGTTGTGCATCCTTCTCTTGGGTATGTGGAAGTAAATGATGTAGTGTGGTTCTTTTATGGTTTTCTATTTGTGGGAATCCTCAGTTACTTTATGTGTGGCTTATCCTTATAATTCAGAATTATGAACTGACTTTTTTGCTGAGCAGCTGCAGGTTTTAACCTATTGGTAACTATCAGTTGACACTTGAGAGGTTAAGCATGGGGTTTAGGAGACATGGCAGATGGTAAAAATTGAAATTCTGGTGATATGATTTAGGCAGTTGGCACACCATAACAAAAATATTTAAGCTGTGAATGAGAGATTATCCTCAAATCTCCCTTGCTAGGCTGATTTGAGGGTTCTAGAGAAAATATGTCAAATCTGACTTAATCTTTGTTCTTAGTCATAGCTGTAAACATGTGTAAACTAAATTGTTTTTCTTTTCGCTATTGCTTGCTGTAACTGCAGTCAAAATTAGAATAGTTAGCATTTATGTCTAAATCCTTTAATTTGATTACTTTTTGTTTTTCAGTTTTATGTTTTGGACTGATTGGGGTGAGAAGGCAAAGATTGAAAAGTGTGGAATGAATGGAGACCTTGAAACAAGGCTGGAGATAGTTAATACCAGTATCCTGTGGCCCAATGCACTTGCAATAGATTATACTGTTGACAGAATTTGGTGGGCAGATGCAAAACTCCACACTATAGAATCATCAGATTTAAATGGAGGAAACAGACGGCTGGTGTTGAGTGAGAACATCAACCATCCATTTGCATTGACCATTTTCCAGAGCTACATTTATTGGACAGACTGGCATCTTAATGCAATCCACAAGGCTAATAAATTTACTGGTGAAGAGAGATCTATTGTGATGGAGAATCTGTTTTCACCAATGGATATTCATGTCCATCATAGACAGCGACAACCTATAGGTAACTTTAGCTACTTACATGATTGAATGACATGCAACTTCTCCTTACAATTCCAATATATATATATATAATTTTGGGAAAGATACTCTGTACTTCATTCTCATACCAAGAGTATCAGTAAGGCAAAGAAGTACTGGCAAGGAAATGATGAAATGTTTTTGGTAACTTATGATGCACCTGTGCCCTGAAATGCAGTAGACAGATAACAGTGTGAAGTCTTAGAAGACTATTTTTTAAGTATAAGTGAAAATGGCCTAGGCCGTTTGCATAGTAGGTGGAGAATTCTCTGACCTTCATACTAAATGAACACCCCCTAACTGGTGTGTGGCCGAGTGGGCAAGGGGATTTATGTTCCCTTGAGTTTCTTGATGCAGATGAATCATGGGAATGCTCTTGTGAAATAGACCACTTGACTGGATTGCAGCTGAATTGTAGCTTAAATCATTGATATCTTAATTGAACTTTTTCAATTTCCTTTGAAAACAGGAATGAATCCATGCACTGTTGTGGCAGAGTATGGTGGCTGCAGCCATATTTGTTTATTAGCTCCCAAAATTAAAAAATATCCAGATGGTTTCTCCTGTCACTGCCCTTCTGGTATTAATCTGCTTTACGATCACAGGACCTGCAATACAACAGGTACCAGTCATGTCTGTAAACATTTGGTTAAAAGAACTTTTAATGTATTTTTTCTTGGTGTTTAATCTTAAAACTTCTTGATGAGGTTTTTCTGTGTGTGTGCTTTTGTTGTTTCTCTCCCCTCCTACAAATCTGGTAGGTTCCATCAGTAAAGTAAAATATTTAGTACACTTTTATGAAAAATTTTTGTGTTGAGGAGTAAGTGTTTCTAGCTGTGACATAATTGATCATTTGGTGATCTACTTTCATAAACCCAGGCTCACTCACATAGCTGCTGTAATGTATTTTTAAGAGTACAGTTCAGAATGCTAGGTATCAAAGCTCTTTTCTACGTATTTTGTTAGGGAAGAAATCTTTCTTGTTCAATTGAGCAATTTATTTTGTACTTTTTCCCAATGCCATTTCCAGAGCAGCTTAATTTTACTGTAGTACCTTGTCCTTTTAACTAATTGAAGGCGACAAAATGTTGTCTCAGTAGGGCTTGCAAGATTTATTTATGCTTGGAAAACCTTTTTTGCGCTCAAACAACTAAAAAGACACAAACCATTCTTTGCTCTCAGATGAAAAAAACACTTGTATAACTTGGAAAGATTTTAGTTTAAAACTTTCTATAGAATCAGTCTTTTGTCTTTATTTTTTAATAAAAGTTGAGATCAGGATCATATTGAAAGGAAAACTCTAGGACTAAGGAATGTTTGTTCACTCATTATTTAAGTTTGAGCTGATTTGTACCCTAAATCCCAGTAAATGAAGTTTTCATCATACTTTTTTTTATCTTTCTAGATGCTTTCAAATGCACAGATAAAACATGTCGTAATGGTGGAACATGTGTAATAAAAGAGGAAGGGGCATTACCATCTTGCGAGTAAGTCTTTTTTTTCCTCGCATTTTACAATCAGGAAGAAAGTTGTCTTTTGTATTGTTGTCCTGTTATTTTTGAATAATTATCATGGATAAAAATGAAAACCAAGATTCTAATGTTACTTGGACAACTCTGAACTCGGTCTCCTTCATTTTCTCTGTACTGGTTAGCAGGGGATGTTAAAGAACCCACACACTTGTTGCAAAGAGTTGGTGTTGTTGTCTGGCTTTTTATTGTTTATACAGGCTTCCTTATAAATCAGTTTTAATGCTGAACTGGGCCAGCCTAAAACTAATTTTTTTTTTTTACTTAAGATGTACGTACGAGTTTACAGGAAAGGATTGTAGCATAAAACGCAGCCTACCTCTTTTCACTGCCAGTCCCACGTATACTACACCTGGAATGAGAGGATTGCAAGAACTTAAAGGAGAGGATGCTGGTGAGTAAACTAGATGAGCTTTGTCTTAAACTCCCAAGATCTCATCATCAATTTTCTACACCAAAGTCCATGCACTTCTTATAACTTTAGATCTGAGAATTTCTCATTGGCACCTTGCAATGTTTTCTTTGACCTGAATGCAGTTGAGATTATTTGGTCTCGGCTTTACATTACTCAGTACCTAGCCTGGGTGGTTTTAAGGGTGGAGAATGGTCTGCACCAAATAACCCTTATCTGATGAAGGAAAATTTCTTGGAAATGTTTCTTCTTTTTGTTAGCGTAATGGTTTTATGAAGTTAACAACTGATGCTTTGTATCTTTCTTGCAGGTGTCACAGCAGCAATATCAGTTGCTGTGGTAGTAGTCCTTTTAGCTCTGGGTGGCTTGATCGGATGGCTAGTTTACAGAAGAATACGTAGAAAGTAAGTGTTTCCAAGTCAGGGTAATTTAATTGTTGTTATCATTAAGTAACAATAGAATTTCAGAGCCCTGTCACCTGAAAGAGTGATTATCACCATCAACCACATTTCAAATTTTGCTGGATCAATTAGGTTTTAAGTCCCTCATTCCTAGATGTGATTAGAGCAAGGCTGAGAGATGGCAGTGAGTTTTAATTTAGAAAAATATTTGCTAAGCCAATTCTGATTATTTGTGTTACAGTAGTTACAAGTAATTATTGTGCTCATGGAATTTGAACTTTGTTTTTTTGGGGGGGGTTTGTTTGATTCAATGAAATATAATATAATATACCATGTCCTGAAAAAACAAGGAAAAAATTAAAATAAAGACAACAAGACTAACCAAGAATATTAAGGGATTTGGTGAAAAGTCTTCTGTTAACAAAATCCTGTTCTTTTACTGGATGATCATGTTGAAATTTTAATGATTTTGTATTTGTTTTCAGCAATCTTAGATCAATGAGTTTTGATAACCCTGTGTATAAGAAAACTACTGAATCTAATGGCTCACTGGATAGAATAAGTATAAGATTTGGTCATTCTCACGGAAAATGTCAGTCATTATTGGTGAGTTGATGTTTGATTATAGGGTTTAGTAATAACAATATTACACCCTGCTACATGACCTCTAAACATGGGTTGCTGAATCAGTGAAATTTGTGGCAAATAAAGTTCCCAAGATGTTTCCACTCTCCATGATAACTAAAGCAGTTTCTACCTGTAAAGAACAAGTCTCAAGTTTATTCCATAAGCTGCCATTCCAAGACTCAAACTTATGTTGTATTGTGGCATTTTTTGACTTTTTTCCTTTTCTCTTTTTTCCAGAGCTCATTCCGGAATGAAGTTGAAATTCACAGTTGCTAGCATTTCAATTGTTATCCAAATGGCAAAGGCCAGAAAATCTGAAGAGACTGATGCAAATATTTTTTCATTCTTGTCTCTGCTATCTGTCTGAATTTAGAGCATTGTGAACTGAATTATATTTTAAAGCTGATAATGCACATTTCAGCCTTTAAGGAGTAGTAAAATTTGTTTGAAGTTCATGTTTGTACCCTAACATGCATGAACTTCCCTTTTTTTACCAAAAAAAATATGTTTTCTGCTTTAGAAGTACCAGTACTTTTTTTTGCACCAGTCTTTAAAGATTGACCAGCCTTTGCCAAGTGGGTAATAATTCATTAAATAGGTTGTCAAATTAAGAATATATATATTATATACATCTAGTTATATAGATATTCATAAGCCCATCCTGGAGATGATATGGCTTGGCATGCAGATTGTATAAGTGATATTTAAATAATTGTAATTTTTTTGTGTTAAGGTTCCTAGTGTTACTTGTCTGTTTGGGGAAAACTCATTTGAAGCCTCTTTGATTGCTGTGTGATGTGATTACTAATGTCACACAGCTTTTTTTGTAAACAATAGTTCTTGTTTTTGCCTCCGTCTAAGAAGTGGGGGGGGGGGGAAGGGGGGACGGGGAGTAATATTTTTGAAGTAATATTTTTACTTCTTTTGGAGTAATATTTTTGAAGTGGCTAAGAGTGAGAGAAACAGACAAATAATGCACAAGAACTGCTGAGATGAGCCAAGATTTAGAAAAACTCCACATTATTTTTTCTCTGTTCCTTTTGACATTAAGAAGGTAAGAATTTGGCTGTTTTTCAACACAGCATCTGGAAAAATTAAGACTTCTTCTGGCCTGATTATTGATTTGTTTCAACTGAGATGTTTTTGAGCAGGTGTTATAACTATTTTCTCATGAAGTTTTTGTTTTTGATTTGTGTAGACAACTGAATCTTGGCTTTTTGAACCTTCCTTAAACTAAAGAATTGATCAAGCAAATGAAAGTGTTTACTGCAATGATTGCTGTTGCCTTGTTCATTAACTCTTGTTCAAGGGCAAGTCACATTTTCTTTTTGAAAACTCAAATATAAAGAAATCAGGTCAATATGTTTTAACGGACATAAAGGCTAGTATTATAGAAATTAATACATAGAACACAGGAAATATCTGCTCACAAACATTTCAGAGGAACATGGGAGATGATAATGATTCTAAATGATTGCATCAGCTGTAAAAAGATCAGATTTATACCCTCATATACACATAGATTTAAAGTGTTGTAAATGTATGTAATTGCGCCAGCTGCGAGATAATTATTTCTAATGATATGAAACACCTCGAATATATATAAATATTTTGCTGCAGCTGGTTAAAACAATGAAAACATTTACCGACACAGGTCTTAGTTTTGAAATGTTTAAGGAAGATTGCAGTCTTATTTATTTAATATGCTGTACAAAAGGATACTAATGAACATAGCCCATGTCAGGCTGTATTTTTGTTTTCTACAGTAATATTTTTCAAGAAAAAAAAGGAAAGCATAGCAATCACAAAATTGAACATGCTACAGTTTATGTGATGCAACTCTTTCACAATGTTTTCTGTATTTGGACAAGCTCAATTGTTTGATTTATGTGCAAACCAGTTCTTCCCTTGTCGCAAATTTGTTTTTTAACTTCCTAAAGAACAGGCGAAAAGGATAAGAAACCATAGGGGCCCTGAAGAAGAATTATGTCAAATACACTGCATATGGTGAAAGTGTAAATTGTAAATAGAAAATTGACATTTAAATTTGGAGGCAGTTTGTATATTTTACCGAGAAATCTGATCATATTCATATTATTCTCCTTTGTTAATATTATTTTGATGGAAATTTCACATTGTCTCACTTTAGGGTTGAACAAAAATAGTTTGTCATCTTGTCCAGACTATGTGATTTTGGTTTGATTTTTGGTTTCTGTTTTGATATTATTCATACTACTTACGATGTTTGTATCATGGTATCTTGACTGTTCAAATTTCTTCAGTTCTGTGGTACTGGTATTCAGGAAATGCACCTTTAGTTATTTTATTATTAAGCTATTGGTAATATTGATGCTGAAACTTGCTGGAACCTGATAGTTAAAAAGTTTTAATAGAGTTTATTACCCTCATTCAACATTTCTGAAGTTCAAATAATGTTATGCGAATCTTAGAGTGTACTTTTATTACATGGTAGTTCTAAACTATATGCAATTGTGAGTTAGTTCAAACATTTTCCACAAGAATTATTTGTATGATAAGTCATATGAATACTTTTCTAAGTATTCACTTTTTGCAAGTTACTTGATAAAATAGAAGCCTAAAATCAAATTCAGTTTTAGAGAAAGTTAAGGTAAACTTTGATTAGCCTGAAGGCAAAATGCCTTCAGATCAGTGCATACAATATTTAAAGTGTGGAAAATGTCCTTTTCTTTATGTGGATAATAGAAATGTATATAGTAATTAAAGAGGTTAAAAATTGCCATGCTATTTGTATGTCGGCAAGTATGGAATAAAATGATTGCTCTTCATAACAACCAGTTTTATTTGATTTTAAATTCAGAGGAACTTTCCATAACAACACAAACTGCCCCAAGAATTTTATATTCATTCAATGTGTGTGCAATGTAATGTACACTACACACAAAAAGGGATTTTTCAATTCAGTAGTGCTCGGAATACTAAATGTGTACTACCTATCTATGTATTAATATAAAACAGCACTTAGCCCTAAACACCCTAACATCAGTATGTAAATTCTCTATACTGTTTTCTATTAATTTTCTATGGTGCTGACAAAGAATTGTTGACAATCAAGAGCTTCTAAAGTTAGAGATAATTTCCGATATTCTCGTAACCTCAATGTTTGATTTTAGGGTGACATTATAGAGAGAAATTAGATGCAGGTCACTCTTGGGGGCTGAAGTTATTTTGCCTTAAGAACTCTCTTGGTTGAAGTTACTTAGAAGTGGTGAAAACCCGAGTCAGGGCTTAAAGGACTCTTTCCAGGGGTACGAAGACAATATTTTTTGACTTTTTAAAATAAGCCGTGTGTTTTCTTTTTAGCTACCCCCTCGTCGTGCTAGCTCCTTGGTTAAATTGGGTAACTCCTCGGGAATGTCTAAAGTGTCCCCGCCCCCCCAAAACGCCTTCTAGTAGTTCGGAATGCACGTTCAGACTTATGCCTTTCAAACGTAAATAATATCACTTCCAAAAATCAAACCTCGTTAATCCATTGCAAAAATTAAAAAAACAATTATGACAACAGAATAAGAAAACTGACAAATCTGCCTCAAAACAAGTATTCGTAAAGTTTTGTTTGATGGCTGGAAAAATTTTTTTCGCTGGAACCGCACTGAAGATTTTTTACTTTGGCCGCCCGAATAAGACTAAATGAAGACTTAATTGAAGTTTGATCCCTCGTACAACAATTCAACAAACGTTTGCAAATTTATTTTAAACCAGGAGTATACTTTGGAAAATTTTCTCGTTTGACTGCTGTAAAAAGTTTATATTATCTCTTGACTGCTGTAATAGAAAGGAGAACCAAGATACGCCTATTCAAGACTTAAGTCCGACCGGTCCTGCTTTATGGTTGTGAAACATGGAAAATCACAAAGACCGATTAAAGAAAACTAAACATTTTCTAATGCCAATGCTAATGATGGATATTGAGGATTAGATGGCAGCAAAGAATGACAAACAAGAGAGTACTTCAAATGGCAGAGATCAATGAAATTAGCTGCGAGGTGACAGAGAGAGTGTGAACGACCGCTTTGCGGCATTGGAGTGGACACCAGAGGGTCGAA